GACCTCCCCGCTACCCCAATATTGCCAGGGCCACTGGCTGCCCCCGACCCCCGGGTCCCAGTCCCTCTGGGGTCTCCCATTCCTCTCCTGAACCCTGACTGAATTTATCCTGGGCTGAATTTACACATGGCCCCAGGCACCAATATCCTGGGGTGAGCCTCTAGGTGCTCCAGATGAAGGCTTGCACCATAGGAGTGTAAAATGTACACTTACTGGCGTGAATAACAATGATTCTGGGGGAAAGCAAGGTGTTTTGAAGCTGGTGGCTGCCATTCCACAAATGGCCACAAGATGTCAGGCTTGGGCCATATTTGAAAATTCCCACTGTCCAGGTACCTGAAAATGGAAACCAGGAGCAAATCTCAGCCCACCTGTTTCTCCCCGAGCCCCTCTGTGAACAGGGGTCCTTTCTTTCTGCCTCTGCTTCTCCCTGAGCCCGTCTGTGAACAGGGGTCCTTTCTTTCTGCCTCTGTTTCTCCCCGAGTCCCTCTGTGAACAGGGGTCTTTTCTTTCTTCTCTGGCAATTTGAGAACATAGCTAATTTTATTTTGATACAAATGTTATGCCATTCTCTCCGGAAGAAGCAGGAAGGGGCTCTAAGTTTAACCTGTGACTTTCATTTTCCCAATGTCACAACTTTCTGGGATCCAGAAATGCCCCCAGATAGAGGAATTCCTGACCCCAAGTTCCATATGGCCAGGACAGAGGCAGAAAGGAGCCTCAGACCTAAGCGCAAGATTGCAGAGACCACCTGTGCCCTTGTTCTGAAGGTAGGGTCTCTTCCTTGTAAGAGAGAAGGGTCACAGTTTCACCTCCCATCTGTCTTCCCCACCACCAGCACCCAGGGTGCCCCCCAAATCCTTGCATGTAAGAAATCTGGTTTCTGCTGTTGTAATACCAGAAATGGACACCAGATGGCAGCACGAGGCCACTTAAGCCGCCTATTAGAAGACATTGGGTAATTGGGTACTGCCTGGAATTTTCTGGGGACAGTTCAAGTCTATTCTGTAAAAATACCACTTGGCCAGTATGCGGTGGCTCTGCTAAAAGAGCTAAGAGGGAAAGAAATAAAGAGGGGTGTACTGTGTTGGCTGTCCTCCCGTCCCATGACCCCTATATGAAAATGCTAGGAGAGGTGACAAGCAGCACCCCAACTCCCTGGTGGCCAGTGCGCCTACTCCTGCGCAAACACCCCAGACTCCAAGCTCCTGGTGGGATGAAATCAGCCGGGGCTTGTCCAGAAGAACGTACTACAGGGCGGGGCTTGGACTCACCTTGCCACCTCCAGAATTGGGGTCTGTGGGGTATGGGCTGCTTTCCTTGGTGGCCCCACAGCAGCCAAAGAAACCTGCGTCCTCGATCTGACACACCCTTCCTGGAGAGATGTCTGTGGGCTCTTTCTGACTGGCTGGGGAAGGGCTCTTCACCCTCCCTGGCACATCCTGCCTGACGTGTCCTTGGGAAACAGACACTAGGTGACAGTGCAGGCGCAGCCGGCCTCAGCAGGAAGCGCGGGTCCTTCAGGCTGGCCCGGTGTGCGCCAGGGCCACCCGTACCCCTGCCTCCTCTACCCACCTCCCCGCTCTTCTTCCATTGACGATGGCCCTGGGCACCTGCACCACGTTGGTTGGGTCCCCCGAGTAAGCCTGTCCTCTACCCCCACATAGGCTCTGTGATTCCCGCCAAGAAAGAGCTCAGGTGGGACTTGAAATGCAAATGGAGAGGGAAGAATGAAGTCCCAGTATGAGCGGGGAGCCTGGGCAGGGTAAACGCCTGGGCACGAGCGGGCGGCTGGGCGCAGGGCCGGACATCTCTGGGGAGTGGCCTTCATCTCCTTGTGGGTCTTTGGCCTCCCTCCCTCCCTCCCAAGTCTCCAAGTACCAGTGACATTCAGTCCAACCAGGCCGTGCTTTCTTTTTAAAAAAGGTTTTTATTTCCTTACATTCGTGGCAGGGAGGTAGGCTCTCATTGTTACTCATTTCCACACGTTTACCACCAGCTCCAACCAGCCCCCCACCTCCAGAGCTGCCCCTCCCCCCATCTCACCACAGCTCGTTGCTGTATTCGGAGCAACTCCCCAATTACGGTCGGCCCTCAGTCCATGCCTTGCTTGGGTGTCGGCCAGGCTGACACAGCTGTTAATGGGCCGGGCAGACTGCCCAGTGACGCCCAAGCCACCACCTGCTGCATGGCCCTCATAGCACACCCGTGCCTCGATGGTACCGGGTGCCACCCACGTGGGGTTGGGGGGTCTGGTCAGACACGTGCAGTCAAGGGAGAGGCTCCCAGCAGACCCCTGCATCCATAAAACATGGGCAATGTGTTTGCCCTGGGCTGCAGCCACATTGGATGCACATAAAAGGCAATTTTTATGCTTGTTCTCGAACTCAGCTCCTTTTTTGCATAGCCCCGCCCCCATTTTACCTGTGCCACGCCCACAGACATTCCAGGGTGACTGCCAAGTGTCACTCAAGTGATATCACACCCACAGCCCACCCCCTGCACACAGTCCCCACCCCCTAACTTCCAGGCTTATGTTCACGCCCACAGACACACTTCCGTTGGAGGGGGTGGGGTGGAGGGGGGGCAGGGGGCGTGGCAAAGCCCCACCCACTAATGCACTAGTGCCCTGGTATGGGCAGGTGCCCCGGCCAGCTGACCCAGCAATCCCAAGTTGGCACCAACGTTCCCAAATTTGGAGGGGTCCGGAGCAAGGCGTGGGGGGGACGAGGAGGTAAGGGGCATCGGCACCGCTCAGCTGGCACTCCAGCAGCTGCAGAGCTGAGCGGCGGAGGGCCATCCCGCTTCCCGGGGCCTGTTACCATGCACACTCTCAAAGTGCCCTTCCCTGTCTCTGCAGCCTCAGCCTCGTCCCCCGCCACCTCCTCGCAGGCCCGGCTGGGCGGTCTGGGCACCCCGGCCCGAGCACCCCCTACTCTGGCGGAGACTGCTAATCCTAGCCCAGCCAGCGGATCATCGTCCGGGCAGTTTCGGCAGAGAGCCCTGGGCACCAGCGACTCCCCGGTCCTCTTCCTCCACCGTCCGGGAGCCCTTGGGACCACGCAGCGACTAGAGTACAGGTATCCGGCCTACCTCCTCCGGCCTGCCTCCCCCGTGGCTGAGCATGGGTGATCGGGGACCTGGTGGGACATGGGACCAGACGGCAGCTGGTCCTCTGGAGCCGGGGTGGAGGAACCCTGCCCCAGAGCCCCAGGCGGGGAGATGGCTCTCCCCACATGGCTGGCTTGGCTGGAGGGAGGAGGCCGGGCGCCTGCCTGCGGGAATGCATGGCTGTTCTCACCAGTGTGTGAGGAAGGGCTTTTCTAGGAGACATTTCCTCATAGATCTGAGATTAGAGGGTACATGGCTGCTCCCTGCACCCTGACCTCAAAAATGACCCTGTGGATGGGGCCAGGCAGGGTCCAAGGCTGAGCTTTGGAGCAGGGTGGCCTTTCTCTGCACAGAGACAACCCAGGATGCCCCCCCCCACCACAGAGGCACTGAGGAGGGTTAGCGCAGTGCCCAGCAGGGGGTGCTGTTTCTCTGAGGGTGGACGGCTGGGTCCAGTGGCCTCCCCCAGCCCCAGCGATGCCCACAGGCAGAGGACCGTGTGTGCACGGTCCCCCCTGCGTCCCAGCCCTCAGCCCCCACAGGTGCTGTCTGGGTGGGGGGCTCATTCCCCCACAAGCCTGGTGACCCTCTCCTTGGGCTGACCTCCTGATGCAGTACTGTGTGCCCTGCAGGAGGGGGCGCTCCTATCTTGTGCTGTGAGTCCTCACCAAAGGCCCCCCCCCCCAGGAAGGGGCCAGCCTGCCCACTGACAGCACACCCGCAGGTGTCAGGCATGATAGCTGTGCCCAACTGTCCCCCTCCTTTGTATGTGAAAAGTGGGGGTCTGGGCAGCTGGAGGAGCAGGTGGGGAAGAAGAGGGGGCTGGGGGGGTGCTCCTGGTGGCAGCAGACCCGGGTGGGGAGGGGGTGACTCTGTGGGGATCATGTGAAGATCATCCTTCTGCTTTCCCCAGGGGCCGAGTGGTCACCGCTGAGCCTCCAAGGGAGGAGGGAGGCCCCGGTCCTCAGCCCGAGAGCCCAGCGCCAGCCCAGCCCGAGCCGCAGCCCGAGCAGCCCGAGCAGCCTTCCCAGCCGGAGGCCCAGCAGGCCGGAGCAGCCCCCGAGCCCAGCCCGCCCAGCCCCGAGGTGAGCTGCTGCGGCCTGTGGCTCAGAAGGTCCCCACGCTCCCAAGACTGAGGCCCACGGCCCGCGGCCCGCGGCAGGGTCAGCGCCAGCCCCGTGCGGTAAGTGTCCGGCGTCCGCTGCTGCCCGGGTCCCGGCCGCAGGTGCAGCTGATCTGGAGTCCATGTGTCCAGTGCCCGGGCACAGACCCGGAGCCGCTGCCCCCCACCCTGCAGCTTTACAGGAAGCCCACGGGGCTGAAGGGGCACAGAGTCACACGGTGGGGTGAAGGGGCATGGAGTCCCAGCGCGGGGTGTGGAATTTAGGGGGGCTCCGGGCACCCCATCTGGGGCTGGGCGTCAACGGCTCCTAGGCCTCGGTGGCGGCAGCGGTGGCAGCGGCAGCAGCAGCAGCAGCAGCGGCGGCTTCTTGGCCAGGAAGGGCAGAGGCTGGAGCAGGCAGGGGGAGGGCAGGCTGTCCCAGCCAGGAAGGCAGAGGCTCCGGCTGAGGGAAGGGGGGAGAAGAGGGGGGAAATCAGCAGGTGGGAATAGGGAGAGTCCTCGAGAAAAGCTGGGTCCAGCTGGTGGGGTGCAAGGGGCCCCCTCCTCCGCCCTGTTTGTCAAGGTGGGTGGCGGTCTCAATTGTGCGGGCGGAAAATGAGATAATGACCGCAAACGCCCCCTGAGCCGGGCGGCCTTGCGGCGGCCGGCGATTCCATTGTGTCGCGGAGGCCGGGGGCTTCCTGTGTGTGAAGGGGGTGTGGGCAGTCAGGAGGCCCAGGGCCCAGAACCACCGCGCGGCTCACTCGGCCGGAGCAAGCTGGGGGTGCTGTCCCTGCAGTTCGCCGATCAGGTACAGGGCTGAGGGAGCAAGGCCTGGGCCTTGGGTACAGGGGTGTGACTGGAGGGTCTGTGTCCTTGGGCCTGACCCCTGCCACCAGGGCAGTAGGCCTTGGGGCCTGAGGGGCGGAGTGGGCAGGTGACCCCCTTCCAGGCGGCTGTACCAGGGAGAAGAGGCCTCTCCTTAGAAGGTGTCATAAGAAGTCACAGGTACCGGTGGAGCAGCCTGGGGCCCTCCCCAGTGCACCCCCATGGCCCACCGTTCGTTGCCCCCCACCCCCGACCCTGACTTACTGCTGGCTGTGGGGGTGCTGATCCGCCATGGGCCCTGTGCCATTGGGTGCTGCTGGCTCCCGGCAGTGCGGCCCCTTCCCCGAGCCTTGTGGGGCACCCGGCTCCAGGGCAGGGCCGGTGGGGTGGAAGGAGGGTGTGGAGGGGTGCCGAGCTGGGGGTGCCCAAGGGTGGGCTGGGAGGTGGCCAGCGGCCAGCTGGGAGCGCAGCTAGGAGAGGAAACGGGGCGGGGAGAGGGGAAGGCCCACTGCCGGACCAGGCAGGCAACTGGGGAACAGGCCGGAAGGCCCAGGATGGGGCGCCGGCCACGCTGAGGGGTGGCCCTGTCCTGGAAGGGTGTCCATCTTCTTCAGAACTGGGGTTTCCTCACCCGGGAGACACCAGCCCTTGCCTAGTGGTGACCCCTGTGCTCCTCAGCGTGGGGGCCACCCCAATGCTGCCCCAGCCCCAGCCCCCCTCAAGCTGTTGGTGGGACCTGTCCGGAAGGAGGGGAAGAGGGCTCAGGGACAGAAGCTGGCCGCAGGTCATGGCCGGGGTGGGAGAGGCCCCTTTTGAGCCCTAGGGTGACCTGGCGCTGTCCCATCAGCCACGCTGTTGACTAAATAAGGCCAGGCGAGGGCTCTGGGCAGCTGGGGGGGGGGAGCGAGGGAAGCGCATGTGTGCCCCCTGCCCTGGCACGGCTCCCGGGCCCTGGCAGCCAGCTCTCCAGTGAGCTCCCCAAGGTGACCCCCAGCTTCTTCCTACCTGGCCAATCAGGACGCATGTCGTGGTCCACGTGGCAATGGTTTCTCCAGGGATAGGCACTCCTGCAGGGCAGAGCAGAGCAGAGGGACCCCCAAACAGCAGCCCTGTCAGATGACCCCTGACCTCTCCCCAATATGGAAGAGAGCAGGGCTCTGGGCCTGGACTCTCACCACCCCGTGAGCCACACACACCCCAGCCTGGGAGCTGGCAGCAGGGCCGGGGGCGCCAGCCCTGCCTCCAGCCGGTCCAGACCCCTCCGCCGGGCTCAGAACCAGCCCCACGCTGCTGCAGACGGGGGTGCGGGCAGGCCCTTTCTAAAATACTCTTCACCCCCCAAATCGACAAGTCCCCACGGAGAGAGGCAGAGGGCCACGCCCCGGCCTCCACGCCCCAGCCTCCTCGCTGCGGCTCCCGAGGTCTGCAGGCACACCCGTGGCCTGAGAATGTAGGGAGGGGCGGGTGGGAAGGAGAGGGGGGCAGCAATGGGGGAGACGGACCAGATGTTCTTGGAATGGGACGCGGGGTGATTGGTGCGGGCTGGAATTCGAGGGGGGAGTGCCCCTGATCTGGGCTGCTTTTCATGGGAGGGGGGTCCTGGCCTTGGCAGGTCCTGGTCCTTGCCTTCCCCCGGTCCCCACACCTGTCTTGTGGCCTTAACCCTTTCCTGCCCAATGCCCCAATGTGCCAGGCCTCATGGCTCCTTCCCCGTGGGGGGGTGCTGACTGGTGAGAGCAGCCACCCCAGGGTGGCACCCCCAGTCTGCCGTGGTTTCTACGCCGGGTGGGGGTGATGTCCCCTCCGGCCTCCTCCACAGCCCCCCTCACCCCCCACGCTGCCCCCTCCCTCAGGCTTCTGTCTCTGAGTCCCGGGGGCCTGGGCCCCGTGGGGGAAATGGGTGGCCAATCCTCGTGGAGAAAGCAAAAGGGGGTCTCGCGGCACCCCAGCACCCCCTCCATTTCCTCTCCACTTTCGCGTCGCGCGAACAAAGTCACCATGGGCCGCAGTCAGGGAAGGCCGGGCGCGGGC